AGACACACTTTGTCCAAATGTGGAGCATCTGTGTGGAGCTCACAGTTCCCCCAAGCTGTGGTCCTAGTTCCCATCCCACTGACACTGACAAGTCTTTACTTTAATAAAATCCTGTAACGGAGGCGGGGCAAATCCATACAAAACTTTATATGTCAAACATCCATATTTAAAATCAACAAAATGATTAAAATTAAGCAGGTTGTACATGTATAAAATGTATAAAATAAAACAGTGGTGAAATGAGAGTGGTTTCTTGTCCAGTATTTTTACAGCTTTTTAAAAAGTGATTCGATGGGTTTGAGTTTTGTACCAGCAGCAAGTGACCGTATGGTTCTGCAACACTCTATATGAGATAGGGGTGTGCAAAAATATCGGAATATCGATGTATCGTATCGTTTAATGGGATGATACAGTATCGATATCATGGGTTACTGTATCGATATATCACCAAGAATATTTTTAGGTGTGTTTTACAAAATTATTTTGTTACAGCACTACAGTTTTGTTGCTTGTGGAGTGAAAGGAAGCTCGTTTATGCGACACATTTGATATTTTTACTGTTTTGAGGATTAAAATGTTTGTGTTTCATATGAACTTTGCACAAGAAGTAATTTAACAAAGACTTTTAGTGTCACACCCACGATTTAGCCTTTATTTTTTATTGAACCGTATCAAATCGATTTGAAATATATCATATCAAAGCGAAAGTGCACTGTATCGAGATATGTATCGTATCGTGGCCTGTGTATCGAGGTATGTATCGTATCGGCAACTTCTTAATGATACCCAGCCCTAATATGAGACAGAATCATGGAGTGTAAAAACATTCGTGCCGCGTATAGAGTCATAAAGGATTTTACTTGTCTAAAATTAGTTAAAATGAACAGCTTTTATGAGGCGCTTAAGATGTTTCTTAAATGTCAATGTCGGGTCCAACGTCAGTCCCAGATATTTAAACTCTTTGATGAAGCTGAGTTCCACCCCGACCAGAAAGACATTGGACCGGATCAATAAAGTTGGTTTAAGTCTAATATTTTGGACAACTACAGACAAAATAACACTAAAAGATCTTCATGGAAACAAGCCTCCACCAGCAGATCTACAGAGCGCACTTTTATATTACGATAACGCGTAATATTATGAAGAAAATACATTTTAAAATCCTGAAAACTCCATTTGCAATGATTTGAATATAGATGCCGTCTCGGAACGACATCAATTATAAAATCACTGTTTACGATAAACATAATGAGCGTTTAATCCCAGTTTAAAAGTGTCGTGTGCACCTGGAAAACCTGCGCCTCCTTCACCGCCGCTCCAGTCTGGGCAATTACACTATTCTAATGATCAACATTCATCTCTCGCTATCTGAATGGAAATGGTTGAAATGGCGTCGGTTTTACCCCAGGCTCCAGGCTCCGCGGTGTTTTCTGCATTAATCATAAAAGTTTGATCAAATGATAATAAACGCAGCGTGATTGTTTACAAAAGAAGACATTAGCCGAAGTGAGCGCGTGCAGAACCGGGGGCCCAAAATCAATCCATCACCGACTACATACGATTAGCAGATTATTGGCTCAGGCTCAGCGGGGCGGAGGCCGGTGAACGATCGAGGATTACTTTTCAATCTGCAAAACTTTTGGGGGGCCACGGAACTCGAAGCCGACTTCACTGTAAAGACGTAATTCTGCTGCTGCAATGATGACTCACTTTATCGATAAACCACAGTCACTATTGTAAGTCTGTTGTATTGTATTGTACTGCATTGTATTGTCAACAAAAAATGTTACACAGACACAAATCAATAATAAAACAACTGGATACTCATTTAAACAACTATTAATATTGAAAAAAATTTAAAAAAAAATGGCATAAATTAGAACAAAAAGCTCCTTTCATCAGTCATCTTTGTTAAGAATGCTCAGATCCAGGTTTTTACTGTTGATACTTTGGCTGCTGATACTAGATATCAACCAATATCAGTGCAGAGACTGAAAATATCATGTATTTCACACAAACAGCATGAGGTAAAAATTCTCCAAATGTGTTTTTTTAACAGCTTCATATAAATACATGTTTAATATTAAAGGGACAGTTCAGAGTTTTGGACATAGGACCTCATTTCCTAGTGATCCAGAGTGTTGGAGACGTGTGGAGACACTTTTTTAAAATATTCCATCCAGTCCTTGTATTTGCAGAGGTCGCTGGTGCTAGACTAGTGCATGTCAATGGTCATAGTTAAACTGTCACTAAAAACAGTCTTATCCACTCCACAAAACACCCGGACTGATATATGAGAAAATAGTCCCTCAACATGCGACAATTCATGCGATGCAAGGTTAGTTTTATTTCAAACATTATTCTATCGACACAGACATTTACATCGACGGTCTGGTGTAATAATAGTTTTGTTTCGGGTATACAGTAATCAATTTATCGGTCAATCTAAGTTCCTACCCTCTCCTATGGTCATGAGCTTTGGGTAATGACCAAAAGGACGAGATCCTCTTGGACAAGTTTCCTCTGCAGAGTCCGACTGACCCATCCAACTGTTGTGTTTCGTTTAAAGTCCGGTGTGGTTTATTTGGGAAAAAAGTTCGAAAATAGACCATTTAATGACAGTGCGCCTTATAATCCAGAGCGCCTAATAGCCCGGAAAATACGGTATTTAGCTTTTGACTTTAAATTATCATGACAACGCTACAACCTACAAGACTCATAGTGACAAGCTCTAGAATTACACTCGGTTTTAATGAGGTGTAGTAAAGTCTTCCCTGCAGTGGTAACAGAGTTATAAGAGGTGATATGTTCCTGTGTGTCCTCATATAAAGTCTCCTATAGAGTCTCAGCGTATGTGCTCAATGTACAACGAGAACTGGAACTGTGAGCGAAGGCAGCCCGACACCGCCGAGCATCCGCACTGTTTATTTTAGCACGTCGCACACAAACGCACACAAACGCACACGCGAACGCACACCTCGCAGGACTCCCCGCGAACCTTAAAGCCCCGAATACGAGTCACTTAAGTTTCTGGCTCGCTCAAATGTTTAACATACAAAACCTTGACCCCGCAGTGTCCGAGCTGCGGCGTAATCCCCCTCGGTGGAACTTTACACCTCGCCGCGGCCCCTTCAGCTCTCATCCTTTAACATCAATAGCGTGTCTCTCCTCTCTCTCCGCATTCCGACGTGTGCCGACCGTACCACCACTGGCGCCAGGGTCCAGCCTGACAGTTTGGCCCCTCTTTGATCCGGAGCTACAGGTTATCTGGAGCGCGGGCTAATTTTAGTTAGCACTCTTAAGCTTCATTTCTCTTTGAAGCACTGGGGACCTGTGTGGGGGGTTATCTTACAAGGAGAGGATTTTGTGTGAGCACGGAGGAGTGGCTACTGTAATGTGGACAAAGATGATCCTCTACAGTACATCTGGGGCCGTATACTCTGGAAGGGGCTTTCAAAGTGAAGGAACGCAGCAGTGAGTCTAATAATAATAATAATAATTAGGGGTGTAACGGTGCATGTATTGGTGTCAAACTTTCGGTATGAGATGTTCGGTTCGGTGCAGGGCTGTGCATGAGTGAGTTCGCTCAATTTGTGCGCGTTTACATTCCACCACTACATGTGCAGGTACATGGAAGGCTCAGCTCTTTAATATTCAGGAAGAACTTGTCTGTGATTGGTGTGGCAGTGTTTTCCGCAGCGCTTTATAGTTAGGGCGGCCACCTTGACAACAATTGCCCTGCACCTTGACTACGTCTCTCAGAACCACGTGAATTCTCGCAAAAGTACAGTCGTCGCGCCACGGTCCTCACTCTCGCCTTTCGCCGGCAAGGAATTTCCACTCCCCTCATTGACATTGTAACTGCAGCACATCTGTTCTTACTGCAGACAATGTGGACAAGTTGTTTATTTCTGGCCAAAAATATGAAGATTGAGTAAAACTTCATACTGGAACTGTTAGTGCTGAGCTTTACTTTCTGAAAAGTTTTGTTTGCTGTTTAGAATGAATTTATTTTTATAATATTTCAAACATTTGTTGCTTATTTGAGAATATTTTATTTAACTTATTAGTATTACCAAGCAGCACTTTGCATTTATTGTATTTTCCCATTTGTATAATGCTAAAACAAATTGTTGGTTTAATAAAAACACAAATGGTTTTGCATTTTGTTTCCATAGTGGACCAAAAATGAGCCAAAACCGAGGTACTTACCAAACTGTGATTTTTGTGAACTGTTCCACCCCTAATAATACACTTTGCAGTGCATTATTCATTCAGATCAACTAGTGAGGTACTGTTGTAGCCACAGTTCACTCTCACATCACATCACATTCATACCACACAATGTCGGCGAAGTGTCTTGCTCAGGTGCCACTGGGAATCCCACTGTGGCACCTGGAATTCCCAAAGCTCTTCCATCCAAGTACTAACCAGGCCCGGCCTTGAAATCTGAAGAGCTCAGGCTTTGAAAAGTTGATATGGCCACACAGGGACAGTGTATTAATAATATAAAAGAGCAACAAAATGAAACAGTCAAATAGAGAAATCTTTCTAAATTGTGATGATTAAGACACTCACTGACTAAAAACAATCACTGATTATTCCCATCGTCCCTTATTCGCAGATGTAAACAAAACAAATGCCGACACAGTTTTCTGTAGCTCAATAAAGGCAGCACCACATTAGCAATAATATCAAAGTTAATATGACAACATAAGATGAGCTTTACGTAAATGTCACATGCATCTCCATGGAGTTTATCCCGTAATAATCCTCAGGTCTGTGTCCATGGAGACCGTGAAGCGCAGAGGGAGATGGAGACACGTTTGAGTTGGGGCGAGAGAGGATCTTTCGCATGAGCTTTATGAGGAAGAGGAGCTGCAGAGGAGGACTGACGAAGCCCCTGGGAAATCAGGAGCTCTCTCTTTCAGTCAGTACCCATGTTAACAGACCGAGAGAGCGGATGGAGGCAGGTGTGGCAGGCGAAACGCAAAACGTACCTTGTCTTTGAGAGTGAAGCTGAGAGAAGCTCGTGCTGCTGCTGCTGCTGCTGCTCGGGGTCTGTGAGGTCAGGAGTCTGCAAAAATAGAGAGACAAATCTGTAAAATACAACAGCCATTTCAGTTTTATTTATTATTATGTATTCATTTCGCAATTTATTAAACCTCTCAGTCACTAAACAGCGGCTCACTGGCCTGTTTTCTCCTCTTGGCTTCACCTGTGAATGATCACATCCTATGGGGACAGCGCTTATTCAAACAATAAATGTGAAAATATAAAACTTTGGCTTGTCCTGCAGAGTCTATAAACATTTGAAGAGCAGCTCCGTGGGCCTGTGTTTACAGCAGCTTCTGTAGCAAACACTGAGATGAGTGATTTTACGGAGCGCTCAGCAGCTGGACACTGGGCTACAGCACAATAAACCTGAGACTGACCTCCACAGGGCTGTAAGAGCACGTGTCACACTTCAGACAAAGGACGCAGTGGGGACACAACAAAAACTCAAACCTTGTCACGTTAAAATGACTTGAGTTACAGGTGCACTGTGTATCTTTTCTCCTGGAGGGTCAATCACCGGTTTGTTTCTATGATATAAAAGTGAAAAAAATGCACAGCACACTCAGACGGCCGATGTCCAAAAGCTTTTTATTTATTTATTTTTTTTAAAATAACGTTTCGGCAAAAAAAAAAAAAAAAACTTTGTCAGATCATTTCTCTTGCTTTAGACCGCAGTATACTGTGGTCAGTATACTATATACTTTGGACTACACTTTACTGTGCTTTGCTGTGGTCCAAAGTAAGAAAAATGATCTGACAACTTTTTTGCTGAAACGTTATTTTTTTTAAAAGTGTGCTATGCATTTTTCACGTTTATTTTACTGTTCCTTGCATTTGCACATCTACAACAGGGCGTTTCTAGGGGAGGGGCCACAGGAGCCATGGCCCCACCTCTAATCTGATTGGTCCCTGAAGTGCCTCTATTCTGTCAATCAACTGACGAGAAAAGCAACCAGAGAATTCAATGATCACTGATGAAATTCCACCCCCAAACTCTTGGCGGCAGTAGACCTGTTGAGTTAATACAACTTAATGGGAGAAGATACAGACCTGTACAGGGATTATTTTTACTGTTTGTGCTTGTATTTGCATCGTACTGAATTAATCCTTTGTGTGATTGGATGTGCCCTGTACTTGGCCCCTGAGTGTAACATGTGGCCCCTTAAAGGTTGTATGGAGGATTTTTTTTTGTTTCAAACTGTCAGTGAAAGATTAAAATACCATTACAGAGACGAAGCAGCTTTGTAATTATGATGACCAAAAAAAAAAGAACAAAAATCGATCAACTGTGGACGTAGTGCGGCCAGATAAACATCAGCCAATAGAAAACAAGGCTCCCTCATTTTCTATTGGCTGTTAGGCTGTCAATCAAACTCCCTAGTGTAACTGACTCGTCGGAGCGCGGGGATTACGTGGTTTACGCAGCGGTTCTTAGAGGCTTTTTCGAACTGTCGCTTCCTCGCATTTCGCACAAAGTTTGTCGCGACGGCGGACGAGAATCCACGACCGGTTCGCCGCAAAAGAAAGTCCGTTTTTGAGGTCGCTGAAAGAAGAAGAGAAGAGGAAAAGGAGCAAAGCCAAACAGAGGTGATTCTTGGAGATCTCGTCCAGCGATGGCGCGACCGAAGCAGACGAAGGGTCTAAAAAGTGACGCGTCGGTCGCTGAATTACTTCTAGACAGGAAACTTCAACAGTAATTCTGAACGCGCACAAGGACTGTCGCTGTATTTCTCTTCCCTTAAAAAAATCCTCTATACAACCTTTAATGACCCCCGTTTCAGAAAAATCCTAGAACCGCCACTTGCTCTACAAGAACCTTGATGTGTGTTTTCAGTTTCATTTTTTTTTCTATGGATATGCTATGACTCTACCTGGAATGTTCCACAGTATGACATTAAACACCTCTACTTTACATTTATTTAATTACAGGTGGTTTTACTTCTCAAAAATACCTCAAAAGAACAGACATTCTGACTGTGAGCGGGGTCACCTCTCCACATTTCTGACCTGTATCTTGGTCTGGTTTGGTCTCTATGAAGATAAAAAGGTTTAATGCCATACCTGTGAAACATTCCAGTCAAAGCAATAACATCTCCATGGAGAAAAGCATTGGATGGACCTTCCACAAGAAAAGTTACACAATGCACCTTTAAGAAGAAGTGTTTTTGTAGTTGAAATAGAAAATACACCTAGTTAAAGTTGAATTTGAAAAACCTGTAACTCTAATTTAAAATAAACTGAATTGTATGTTTGAATTAAGAACAAAATACTAATTCAAGTTTAATCTTCTTAATTTGAGTCATTTGAATTTACTTAAAGATTACTTTTTGCAGTGGAATAGGGGTGTGCAATGTAGAAATATGGATATATGTCATGATAGTACATTTGGTGATACAGTTTTGTCGCTTATTTGGTGGAAGGAAACTTGTTTTTGAAATACACTTGACATATTCACTGTTTTGATGATTAACACCTTATAGTTTCGGCATATTTTTCCGTTTTCTGTTCTGTTCCGGAGCCTTTTGGAGTACAAACAAAAGTCTTTGTGAAGCTGAGGCTCTGGAGTTTTGGCGTCTGCGGTCTTCAAATTGTATTGTGCACTCTCATTTTAAATTGGGAACAAGCTTTACACAGAGAAAGTCAGATTTCAAATTCCGCCTACATTTTTGGAGGTAAATATAAGAACAGGTATAGCTGGTGTCCCTGGGAAAAACCTGAGAGACACCAGATGGAGCTGGATCTAGACAATTCCCGTGTCAAAACTGAAGCAGATCTCACTAAGCATGAGATTTAGGGACTTTTAATTAATTAATTAAATATAAAAAAAAAAAATAAATCCAGGAGCACAAAATTCCTATTAAATTCTTTAGATTTTTTGGGTCTTTTTTTTAATTTGTCGATTTGGAGACAAACAGAATTATTGATCTGACTGAAAATAAGTGTATTACAGATTTCCAAGAATGTTTCGCAATGTCCATGAGTTTGAGAGTTCCCTTTTATCAGACGCTGCACGAACAGAAATTAATTAAGAATAAAAGTACAAGGGCCCGTATCAGTCCACTCGGAAGATGCATTTCATATTTATTTTTGCACAAGTAGTGGTTTAACAAAGGAGTATTGTTGCTAAAATGTATTTGGTTCACAGAGTACATATATGCATATTGCATGTATTGCCATAATATCGTATCGTGAGCCATGTATCGCATATCGTATCGAATCATGAGGGACCCTGTGATTCCCAGCCCAACTAGGGACAGTTTATCCCACTAGCCATCAACTCCAATCCAATAAACTTTAAAAAAAAAATAAATATATTGCACATTTCATGAACAAACAGTTTCCAAAGTGCTGCACAAATACATAACAATAATCAAATAAAATGACCAAATAAACGCTCAGATTGAACCATACTCGTCTTAAAACAATAAAACCAGTGAAATAAAATAAGAGGAGCAAAAAGTACAGAATAGCAATAAATAAATCAAACCAGTAAACTAAATCAAAAATGAAATAAAAGACACAGTAGTGCAGTGTAGTGGGTCTTAAGACGAGACTTAAAACTCTCCACTGTGGGGGTTGTTGGGACGTGGGGAGGCAGAGAGTTCCAGAGTTTGGGTCCGGCCACAGAGAAGGTCCTGTTCCTCCTGGTTTTAAGTCTCGTTTTACGTACCACGAGCTGAAGCTGGACCCCGCCCTCAAACTCCATTTCAAATTGACTTTACATTGAAAAATTGTGGCCCCTCTCTCTGTAACTCTACATGATCCTAGTGTTTTTGTTTCGCTATTTTGTCAGTGAGTAAATTCCTATTCCTAATCCTGCCTCACTCCAAATTCGCTCCAATAACTTCCAGCCTTGATGAGCTTCATTTGACTGGAGTTGAAGGTCACATTACCTTAGAGCCTGTTTACACGAGAACGCTTGTGGATAAAAACGACACAATATTTGATCAGAAGTGCCTTTCGTTTAAATGGTGATGGCGTTTTTGGGGTTTAAAAACACAAAAATCTGAAACCACCCTCTAGAGAGGAAAAGTTAAATACGCTCCGCCGTAGCGTTTCCGTCTACATTGCCCAAGACGCAAAACTCTGGTCAGATCTGCTCACGTCGCGTACGTGTTTACGTCACATGCATGCAGTACACAGAAAGGTTAAGGTTAAGGTTCTTTATTTGTCATTCAGGCATGCGAGATAAACACACAACAGAACGAAATGTGCTCCCCGAGGCCCAGTGATCCAGAGAGAGATAAAAACAATAATAAATAAGCAATATTAAAACGTAAATACATCAAAAACAACAACAACATTTAGCAGTTCCAATAGACAAATACAAGAAACAAACACGTGGGATCATTTCCATGCATCAGTGCTTCAAGCTGTTCTGGCTGCTCAAATAAACTTACAGGAGGCTCCCAACAAATGTACAGAATCTGCAGAAATACAGAGAAGGATCTGCAATCACCTCTGTCAAACTCTGGATGCACCAGTTCATCACAGGCGAGCCAAACGGTTATGGACGAGACCTGGGAGAAGCCGCCTTGCATGCATACCCAATCAAATTCCACACACTTTTGCGTTAAAAAATGTAAAAAATCTACCCCCCGTTTCCCTCCGTTACCGCTTGACCGGACCCATAGAAACCTCAGGGGCCTTGTGATTTCGAGCGCTACTGTGGACAGTTTATTTGAATGTTTCTTTTGAATTGTGCCGTTATTCACACAAACACCTCCTTTACATTTTCCAATTAAAACCAAACTGCGTTAAAAAAAAGCCATAGACTTTATCTCCATGTTTCTCAAACTGCTGTTAGGTTCGATTATGGAGCATTCACTGTGTTAACAAAAACGTGATAACAGTTTCACAGACAGACAAACCAATAATGCTCTTTGGGTTTCACAGTCACACACTTCTAGCTCATGCACGTGTTATTTCCCTTCGATCACCTCATTTGACACAATATAAATCTGCAAAAATTCACAACAAAATTTTTTTTCTTGTGCAGCTGCGACACACAGGCTGAGC